AACGTTGTTTTAACGTTGTGAGGAGCCCAAAGCATAACGTTTCCTCAGCGTAAGTTTGCAATGCTGTTATTACATTGTGACATAACGTTATAAAATGACGTAATATAACGCTATGTCATGGCATTACCAATCTACAACCTTCACACAAGGTTGCGAAGAACGTTGTGTGTTAGCTGGGAGGTTCTGATCAGGAAAGAAACAAAACAGACTAATATAGACACAAAACAACTTCCATTTAATAACTATCAAAATCTCATCTGGAAGGAAGGATCTGAGAACAGCTGAATACTGGAAAAAGTAGTCATCCTGTAGCAGCGCAGTACAGAAATCAGAGTGCAATATTGAATTTGCCTAAGTTCACCATATTGCATGGCTGTATTGCTATCATCAGGTTCTATGAGTGTATAATATATATACAGATACTGACTCATCAGATAGTTCTCATTTCATCAAATGAAGAAGGATTACAAAGGCTTTACTTCAGTTGTCACTGTGTGCAATTTCCTGCAATCAATATCACGATAACTTGTATCAGTGCATTGTGATAAATGTGCACCAGTTGTCCTCTCACACATACAGTATACCAGTAATTCAATTTATCCAGGCATTGTTAGCATCCTGTTATATTATGGGTTATGCTAGGAGGTGAGGTGAAATTGGGTTTTACGTCGTGCTTCAGAATATTTCGCTCACATGACGACGTGCATGCAGTGTATGTGTATGTGCGGCTGTTTGTACTAGCCCAGACTTAAGCTGGTTTTATAGTGCTAGCCCACTGAGATACCATGCTGCAGTGAAGCATGAATACCCCACTCAGACACTTTATACTGACTCCGAGCCGACCAGTGCTTGTTGTACCCATTAATGCCGAGCGCCAGGCAGGGACTAACAAGTACCATATTGTAATGTCTTTTGGTATGACGCGGTCGGGGATCGAACCCGCGACCTTCCGCTCTCCACTACACCACGGAGGCGGTACGCCATGCTAGGATAGTTTCAGAGGATGGGAGATGATATTGAAGATACTGAGATACTTTTTTTCACAGCCATGATTAGTTGGTTCTCCAAATGAGACATCTGACTTTATTTTTCTGAAATCATTTAATTTATCAATGTTACATGGTTTTGATATGTTTCCCACCTGCTTGCCCTTCAAAGATTTGAAGCTGAAAACAGTCACCAAAACACTGCAAACTTAAATATAAAACCTGTATCAAATGGTATACCATTGAATAACTAGTTCCTGTTTAGTTCAGTTTTAGCCGTCAAACATGGTCCTGTAGTTTATATCATGAATGTTTTCCATTATTTGTAAAAGAAACAGTCAATGTTTGGTGTTATAATGATGTCAAAGAGACATATCTGATCAGACTTCAAGGTTTAAGTAATACGAATATTACTTTCAATATTTTTCTTATAGGAATGTATCATTGTTTAATGTCCAGGTCGTGCTTGGCGTTTATATCATGAATGTGTTATATTGTTCATAACAGAAACGGTCAATGTTTGGCGTTATAATGATGTCAAAGAGACATATCTGACCAGACTTCAAGGTTTCAGTAATACAAATATTACTTTCAATATTTTTTCTTATATGAATGTATCATTGTTTAATGTCCAGTTTGTGCATGGCTTTTATATCATGAATGTGTTCCATTATATAAAACAGAAACGGTCAATGTCTGGCTGTATAATGATGTCAAAGAGACACATGTCAGTTTAAGGTTTCAGTAATATGAATTTTATTTTCAACATTTTTTCATATAATATGAATGTCGTGTTGTTTTATGTCCAGTTCATGCCTGGCGTATAAATCATGAATGTGTTCCAAAGAGTCAACGGTATAATGATGGTCAATTTATTTTTCTTGTATGAATGTATTGCTGTTTAATGTCCACTTCGTGCCTGGCGATGTTGGGTGTAATAAAGAAACGCCCAGGCGGAGGCAGCACATGTTGCAGTGTCGACTCCCATGCTGTCTTCCATCCTTGAGAACAATGAGCAAACACTCCACACACAACCACCAGCATAATACACATCAATACACATGCGGGCGTGACTGGAAGCTGGTCACATTACCACTCGGGTCCACCCTCTCACGGGCATTGATTCACTGAAGCCAAAACTTTATGTTTGTGAGATAGGTTGGTATAGCATCAGTGCACTTTGGTCCTTCAAGAACAGCAGCCAGGGGTACTGTAGCTCACCTGGTCGACTGATTGACTGATGATGGTTGTGACAGTCCATCAGCCAAGTGCTGCGACAGCTTACTGTCAGCTCTTATTGAACACCTGCCCAGCTGTGTCACAAAGCGAGAGTGGGACATTAACAAATGTGATAAATAGCTGCTTGCCTTCAAACTTGTTGCCAGCAGCATTTTGGTTAGAGTAATGATTTTGAAATGTCCTGTGGCAAACTGGCTACTGAAATTTTAACATTTTTTTCATGCCCTCATTTATAGTTGATTAAAATAAAAGTTTGCCCGTTTCGGTAGATCAGTATGACCATTAAAATAAAAAAGATAAATGTACCATTCAAATCAATGCTCAGATTAAGTGGGATTAGAGTTATCCCCCTTAATCTTGTTCAAAAACTGTAATGTTTTTAAAAAATCTTTAAACATCAAATGCCTATAAATTACTTATGTATGGGATATAAAGGTTTGGGTTACTTGGTCTTGCTGATGGTTTAATTGGACATCAGAACTAATTATTACTTATCTCTGTCAAGAGATGCAATGCCATTCACCTGTTACATCTGTGACTTCAAGAGTAAGACATATTGACATGTCCATGACATATTCAATAATTCATAATAAGGATATCAACAGGTAGGTTTATGTATTACCAGGGCTCCAGATAATTTTTCAACATCAGGAGTACGTACTCCTTATTTTTTCAATATAGGAGTACTGGAAAATCTTAAGAGTACATTTAGAGTACTGAATGGAATTTAATGGCGTATCAGTAATCTTGTGTTTCGTTTCATATATGCACCACAACATTGCTAGTCTTGAGTAAACAGGTCAATAAACAATAAAACAAATTGAATACTTTTTTTAGATAAATACATCTGTAAATGATTCTAAGACCGTACACCATTGCTGTGGTGCGTATCTGCTACGTTTTCTAAACTATTTTCTACCGTATTATATATATTCTTTTATCCGTACCTACGCCGATACGGCCCTTATCTGGAGCCCTGTCAGGGGTGGAAATAACTCTAAAATTGCTAGTGTACTCCGGTACAGTGGCACATGTAAAATCACTTGCCCTGATAATTTTTCCACTATACCGGCCATTTTCTTGTTGATTTTTGAAATAAACAACATAATTAACATTGGAATATCAACTGGACACCGGTACAGTGTGATATACAAATTTGCTTGCCCGACAGAAAAAAACGCTGGACTCGGGCGTCGCGCAATGGGTTATTTCCATCCCTGCCTGTATTACTGTGGTGTAATGTTATAGCAGTACAATATTGTATAGAGATATCATGCTCAGGCTCAATACATATACTATTCACACTTTGCTAAGGATCAAATCATTGATTCAACAGAAAACTATGATGTGGGGTCTAATTTGGTTTAAATATCTAAGCTTATTGTAAGCATGGATCTACTAGGTTTCAGTATGTAATTTCATCTTGTGGATCCCATACCTGCTATTGACAGGTGTTGTGTACTTGTCAATGACTCGTTCCATGATTTGCAAAATGGTTGATTGGTGCCATGAAAACCATTTTTATGGTAACTCATGTATCATGTGCATAGGGTTAAATTAAAGTGGCTGTTTAAGTAAAGTTGGGAATTTTTGTAATTCTTAGCAAAGTGTGAGTAGTATAGTTATAATGATATAAGGCTCAGGATACAATACATTGATACTCCTGTATCACAATGTGTACAATTTATTACATTACAAGTGAGTGAGTGTCTAAGTTTAGTTTTATGCCGCTTTTGCAATATTCCAGTTATATCCATGTGGGGAATCGAACCCAGATCTTTGGTATGACGGGCAGACACTTTAACCACCAGGCGACCCAACATTACAAGTTATGTTGACATAAAAACAGAATAATAACAGAAACTTTTCAAGAACCTGTTTATACAGATTCTCTAGTATTTCCTGGTTGGCTGTGGATATCAGAATTGGCTTGGTTTGTGGGAAAGTCTTGATAGTTTTAGCCAGGGTCCAAGTAAAACAATGCACAATTGACCATTTTGTTCCCAGTACTTGAGACCCACAGCAGGTACCCAGGTAGGATCCTGGGTTACATATAGACTTGTCCAACCCTAGTAAGAGGTGTATATGTACTTACGTCTGTAGAAAGCTTTGTTTGTTGATCAGTTGCCAAAGGTAATGCAATGCAATTGATCAAGTGAGTGAGTGAGTGAGTTTAGTTTTACACAGCACTCAGCAATATTCCAGCTATATGGCGGCAGTCTGTAAATAATCCAGTCTGGACCAGACAATCCAGTGATCAACAGCATGAGCATCGATCTAAGCAATTGGGATACGATGACATGTGTCAACCAAGTCAGTGAGCCTGACCATCCGATCCCATTAGTCGCCTCTTACGACAAACATGGGTTACTGAAGACCAGTTCTAACTCGGATCTTCACAGGTTTATCAAGTATAACCTAACATATTGAAAGTTACTTTTTGTTAGATTTTCAAGTTGTTTTTATAATTAAATCTACAGCATTTGGGAACATGAAAATATATATAAAACACTTTTTATCTTATATTCTGATTCTGGTTCTTGGCTATGATGAGTCAAATCTGTAAGAAAATACTTAAATAACCATCGCCTGAGAGATAATATTGTGCCTACCTTGTCATGGAGGTCCCTGGCCCTCTGGACCCGGTGTTTGGCAGGTGTGGACTTGTTCAGGTTCTTCTCCACTTGCAGCATGTTGGCGGTCCGTCCGACTGGGATGGTTAGGAGACTCATCCGTCCCGCCTTGGATAGTCTCCCCACATCATCTAGACTTAGAGGCGGGCTGGTTGTTCACCTCCAGAATCACATCACCTAGAAGTCACAATGTTAGTGAGTCAATTGGGTTTCATGCTATCATAATCCATTCTCAGGTTTATTCAGCATACGTTGAAAACGATTCTTCCAAAATTGATATTTCAGAATTGATTTATCACTGATTTGAGTCCAAAACATGCATGTCTATTGGGGCAGATATCATGGATGAAATATTTACGTTTTTACATAAATGGATGTATGGGCAGAGTAGTTCTCTAGGACCCTGCAGAGTTTTGTCCCTTAGTTGTGCCAGGATCTGATACTCAAGGGTTTTAAACAGATATAACCTGATACAGCTGATGTACTCTTCAAACAATCATGACCTAACAGTAACACACTCAGTTGCTAATCTTAAAAACATTTGAATTTCTTCTTTATACCCAAGTTAATTTAACAGTGACATTTACATAAAAAAATTATGGAACGTTTGGATAAAATTGAGGAATATCGTGTGAACACAGACTGTCAGTATGTCCAACATCATTCCCATGTTCACTGTGACAAGATTGGTATGACTGAGACATGTTTGTTTGTTTGTTTGTTTGTTTGTTTGAACCACACTCAGCAATATTCCAGCTATAGGACGGTGGTCTGTCAATAATTTAGTCCGGACCAGACAATCCAGTGACTGACATCAAGAGCATCAATGTCTGCAATAGGGATATGATGAGATGTGTCAACCAAGTCAGCAAGGCTGACCATCAGACCCATACAGTCTCGATGACCACACCTTACAACAATCATGGGTTGTTGAAGACTAGTTCAAACCCAGATCTTCACAGGTCTGGTATTATGTGCATTATTGTATTACTTAAAAAATACTGTAAAACATCAGGGCTGCGCAATATAACCGATTTACCGGTATTTAATGGTTCAGACATGAAAATGATACGTATTGCGATACGCTGATCGAAAACCGGGTATTTTGACTTTCAGGGCATTCAGAAAACTTCGTAACACTCGGAAATGTTCGAATATGTCCTTGTTTCATTTGTGCCAAATATTATTCACATTCTTATTTTATCATGATTAAAAGTTGTTATTAAAGCTTAATCAAGCCTAGTGATTTTGTTGTGCTTTTGCTCTATAAATCAAGAAGTAACTCGATTATAAGTAGTTTTTGTTTAAAAATACTTCATGCAATATATTGCAATACATATCGCAATACATGCTTTCGCATCGCAATATATCGCAATATGAAACTTCTCTGCAATAGCCACCCCTATAAAACATCATACAGGTAGAGAAATAGAGTGAATATTATATATTTCAGACTTAAAAGAAAACCAAAAGCCAACTGGTCCCGGATTACTATATCTCCTCAATTTTTCTCGCAAATTTCAATGACTAATAAGAAACAAAGACTGTTTTTTTGAAAAACTAAAACACAAAAATTAACATGTGTATATCACATTTTCCACTAGCCCCTGATGTACTGAGCCATAGTGATGTGATTCCTGCTTGCCAGGAACATTAATATTGCAGACCCAGTTGTAAATAAATCATGCATGGTGGTTGTTACTGCAGTAATTAGGCTGATGGTGCTGTTATGTTAGCACTGGCCATATGCCTTGGTGACCACGCTTGGAATGTTCCTGATGTGCTCTTTGTTGCAGTACCAATGTTAACTATCTGAGCAACAGAGGACAGTAGAGGATTTGAAACTGGCAACCTGTAGTGTTTTGCATGCTTTGTGGATTGACTGACTGATTGGTTACATGGTTGGAAAACAATGGGTTGAAACTGGTAACCTTGATTGGCTTGGTGGATTGATTGTTTGAATTGAGTGGTCAGTTGGTTGGTTGGGAGTGTATGGGTGCTTGTGGTTGGTGAGGAGTGAGTGAGTGAGTGAGTGAGGTGAGTGAGGTGAATGAGGTGAGGTGAGTGATTTGGGGAGGAGTGAGTGAGTAGAGGTGAGTGAGGTGAGTGCCAGAGGAGTCAGAGTGAGTGAGAGAGTGACATTTGGGGGTCAGCTTTTCACAGATGGTGCACCTGTGAATAGATCCCAGGTAAAGACCAACTTGGCAGGAAAGAATTCTGGTCCATAGAGCATCTGTAATGCTATGCCTACCTTAAGTATAATTCAAAGTATGTGAGCTATGATCTCCTTAGTGCTTTAAGGAACTGATTTCAGTTTCACTCCAAGGAATCCATGATGAAATCTGTGATTCATAACTTTTAAGTAGTACTGTTAATTTTTATTGGATTTCTTGGGAAGATTAGATTGATTCAACCCTGAACTTTGAACATACATGATTCTTATTGGTCAATCAGTCTTCAAATCACATAAAAAACATCTCAGATTGAAACAGCTGTTTTGACAATGCATACTGTTGCAAAAATCACTAAAGCTCTTGATCATTTAAATACGAAGTAACCTAACTCTAAACAGATATGTATATTTCCTATATATAACATATGGTAAGGCTCATATATGAAATATGATAATGGAACAGTGAATTGCAGAGTTTCAAAGACACAGTTAAATGTCTTTTGAGAATTTATTTTTGAATTTTGGCATCATATGCAGTCTAAGACAGCTGTGGTTCTTTTTTTCCTTCATCGATTAAAAACATGCCTCATTTGAAACAGTGTGTGAGTGAGTTTAGTTTTACGCCGCACTCTGCAATATTCCAGCTCTATGGGAGCAGTCTGTAAATAATCGAGCCTGGACCAGACAACCCAGTGATCAACAGCATGAGCATCAATCTGCGCAATTGGGATACAATAAATCTGTGAGTCTGACCACCTGATCCCGTAGTTGTGTCTTACAACAGGCATGGGTTACTGAAGATCAATTCTAGCCCGGATCCTCACGGGTCCATTTGAAACGGACACTGTATCCAAGCTTCACAACTGACATCGTATCAGAGAGCTGAGTTCAACATGTGTCTAGTTGTTATTGTTGGTATTCTTGGTTGGAAAAACAAGAATAGCGTTTGTTTTTCTATAAAACATGATAAGTGTATCTTTAGGAAAGTGGTAAACCAGAATTCTCATTGTATACATGTATTTTGTAAAGGTTAAGTTTTTGTTTGTGTTTTTATCCAGCAAACAGTGAACATCGTAAAGATAGTGCCAGGTGAATATATACGTGTGTGTGATGGGATATTGATATACGTTTCTTTACTGTTTAAACCACATTCAGAAATATTCCACCTCAGGATTTTACCTTGACTCACATGGGAGTCGCGGGGACCCCTAATTATTAGTTTTAAGGGGCCTTGATGACAATATGAGGGTCCTGTGGAGAAAACAGTGTAGAGGAGTGTATGTTTTGATAATTTCTTGAGAACCTTGAATGAATCATTGATCATGTGGACTGATGGATGAAATGATGCATGTAACTGCTCTGAAAGAAACAACCAAACACTTAGCAAAGTCATAGATGTGTTGTGGGTACAATGAATAATATTTTGCATCCTTTTGGATGCAGTGAATTGTTTTTCTGCGTACATTATCTACCTTTGTGTGTACTGGACGCACGTTTACACGTCACGTAAAACCCTTGAGCAATATGAAAGTGGCCTGTAAATAACGGTAATTAAGTTGGACTAGATAATCCTGTGATTGATACTGCGATCATTGATACAAGGGTACAGTGACATGCAGATGACCATGCCTGCACTGAGTGACCATCAGACCAATATGGTCAGCAAAGGTTGCTGGGGACCAATTCCGACCAAGAATCTAGACAGGGTGTTTCCCAATACGCACCTATCCTTAGTCCGGCTCTGTAGGCAGGACTTCCGAAGTCGACAGCTCCCACAACCAGAGGGCGCCCTTCCACTAGAGTAAATCCGTACCCTGTTGCATTCCGAGCGGGTATATCCACTTGACACAGACATGACACTACTTCGACTCCTGGAGGCTGGGCACGGCTTTGTTTGGCGAGTATTCTCAATGATTCTGCCGACAGAGCCGTCACATCTCGTCCCTCCAGCTGCAGAAGCTGGTCTCCGGCATAAGCCCTGACCGATGAGCAACACTGCCCTTCTCCACATAGATAACATAACATGGACCACGCCCATATATCTGAAAGCCATAAGACAGAGGCCACTTCACTGGCACCCTCAGCGGCATGGCGTTGGTTAAACAATTCACAAATTACTGTACTGGAGATATCACTCAGATTAGGTATCCATCAATGGCTGCGAATCTTCTTATTCCTTACTTTCTTTAAGTATAGTCCATTTTGGGGACAGAACAATTCTGAAATTGAAGTTCCATAAATTTTTAATCAAAATCATATTAAAGTTGAATCAAATGTCATTAAACCCTCACAAATCAACAGACAATAAAGGAATAAACATGATCAGTAGTCTGTGATAAGTGAAATGACAGCTAGTTTACAAAACTCACTCAACCCAAATGAACAGTGTACTAGTTGGAAAAGAACAAAGGTGTCTACCTGTGGAATGAGAAAAGTTTATAATTTTACATCTATCTCCAAAACCAAAGTCTAAAACATAATAAAACACAAACATATCAGAGCTGTCAACCCCTAAAGATGGTTTGGAGTGAGACTGAAAAAATTAAGCCGGGGTCCAGCCGGGGTCATGTCGAGGGCGATGCCCTGGTGGGGGGTCTCTGGGGGACGAAGCCCCCCGCCCCCGAAAATGAAGTTTAGTGATTTTCAGGAGCATTTGGAGCCTTCTGGTGGCATTATTTTGACACTAAAAGATGCATGCTAATAAATAATAAGCCGAATCATTCGCATAAACATCGTTTTAGTACTTTGTTCATTCAGGCGTTCTTTCAATGTTCAACTTTACGCAAAAACGAACGAAAATGCGTATTAATTTTGAAATTATTCTTGGCTACCAGATATGCGTGAGATTATTATTTGGAGGCGTGAGAGCATGACATTTGTCAATAAAGCGTGAGACTCACGCCAAATGCGTGAGAGTTGACAGGTATGACATATGTACGTACCAAATTTCTCTTTCACACAAACAGAAGTTCTGCATCATTTCAAAATTTACCGTTAGGATCCTGAACCAACTCAATTAGGTCAAAAGTGCAGTCACCTGGCCTTAGTCAGAGCTCCATGAGTTCATCTATTATTCACAATCATCACATTAATTTGGATACTCAACGTCTGATTTGGAACATCGCCACATAGATTGTGTTCATCACAGCCAAATTCAGGGAAAGAAGTGCCACTTTACACTGTGCTTATATCCACATACATATTCCAACATATTGTGTATAGCTAACAAGTAATACAGCATTAATCATATTTATATACTGAGCTATTAGGGTGTGTACTTATAAAATCAATAAAACCTTTGTGCCAAATGGTGAATATATTATTGAACATAATATGACTGTTATTGAAGAGCACTGTTGGAATATTTCTCAGTTTCTTGCACAAAAGATTACACTGTATTCTATCTCTTAAGGAAACAATATTTCTGCTAAGATGTTTTGAAAGTATCATAGAAAGTACGAAGGGGTTACTGTTTGAGTGTACTGACAGTAATCTACATGCACTTGCATAGATGATGGAGAATGTCATATCTTGAATATTCTCGACAAATGCATTAATTGTAAAAGTCTTTTGAACTAACACCTTCACTTTCACAAGAAAACCAATTAGTTGATAATCACGTGATTTGTGAAGCTGTCAACATTTAGAAAAGTTACCTTTGAAGCCGTTTCATCTCAGTCCATCGCAGTGACACACATTTACCTGTTCAGCGCGACCTATCAAACGATGTCTCACCGCTGCATAGTGAATAAATCCTATATCGATCAACAGCAACAAGTTGCGTTCGAAGCTAGCGCGCTGATCAATATTATGTCACGTGACGCCACGTGAGAAGCTGTTGATGTAAACTTCCGGTTTCACACGTGCGTAAGAATGGCTGCTGAAGTTGTAAACACGCCGAAAGAACAGCGTTTGTTTTGACGATCCGTGGCGTCTTGGCAACGGGGAAGCGCTGGCGCTGTTCTTCAGATGATAGAGCAGAATATGTTGCACGTGGAACCCGAGGTAAAGGTTTCTCTGCTCGTTGAACAGAAACTAAAATAGAGCTGTGGTTTTGCCAACCCAAATGTCGTGTGTTGTCGATATACTGCAGATGGACATGATTTCTGCAATGTAAATGAATCTTGACATTTGACAAATCGATGTATCATGTCAAAGTCACCTTGTCACATATGTCTCTTCCCAAGGACTTCTCAATGCTTATATTTCGACACTTGAAAGACGGCTTGCCACTTTGATGTTTTACTTTCACGCCTATTTCGAACATGGACACATTATTGATTACCAATAATTGAGATTAACAACACGATATGTGTGAATCATGACGTTATGCTTGATTCATCCCCGTGTGTAGGCGATTTATGTCCCTCATAAAAGAACTGGAGGCCACGATCGGTGAAACTTCAATCATGCCATCTACACTAATGAAATGAATGCTGTATGGGCTTGAATGGAGTAATCATAGTCACATGAAAGTTTTGAGACAGCTTGTGTTATTTTAGATATATATCTGTATACATTCTGGATTCTTGCCACTTTCATATTTCCTTGTTTGGTCGGCTTTAGCAATGAATGTATGATGATAATGGTAGGCTGGAATACAAGAGGTCAGACACCTTCCCAAATGTCGGTAAACAAATGCGCACAAGCTCCTCCCTACAGCTGTAGCTGTCTTTTTTTTATGAAGCTGCCTGACTAATATAACAGGGTTTGGTGGTCTTACCCAGATACAGTGAAACAAATACTGTTGTAAAAATGTCTGTTTTAGTGTTCATGGTGTTACTGAAATAAAGAGTAACCATTGTCTGATTGGTTACATCCGTGTTGCCATCTCGCGTTTGATTGGGCGGTCATAGGTCGCTCAAACATTAGCTGACGCGACCTTCGACTCAGCAGTGTAACGAATAATACTGAGTCTAAGTTTACTTAGACTGGATTAAAAGCAGACAATAATGAATTTTATCACTTTCTTAAACATTTAATGTTATTTTTCTAAAGTTGTAGTCACACTGACTCACAGATATTGATCTCTTTTGCTGCAGGTGACAAAACTGTGATGTAGTACTTCTAACGTCTTCACGCCAGTAAGCCATCGTTGATAGTAGTGCGTGACCTGACCCATTAGCCTTGACCTTGACCTGACCTACCGAGCCATCATGGACTTCATCCTCCTCTTCACCATCTACATATCCCTTTTTGGATTGTTTGTCGTGTTTTACTTGTTTGGAAACCACCCGTTGCTGAATAGTGGTGTGGTGGGCAGACTGAAGGAAAACGTAATACAGGTACTGAGTAAAGATTGGAGTGAGTGAGTTGGTTTTACGCCACATTCAGCAATATTCCAGCAATATGGCGGCGGTCTGTAAATAATCGAGTCTGGACAAGACAATCCAGTGATCAACAGCATGAGCATCGATCTGCACAATTGGGAACCAATGACATGTGTCAACAAAGCCAGCGAGCCTGACCACCTGATCCCGTTAGTCGCCTCTTACGACAAGCATAGGTTACTGAAGGTTCATTCTAACCCGGACCTTCATGGGTAGTAAAGATTTAACCCGGACCTTCACGGGTAGTAAAGATTGGAATATTTACCAAACTTTCAAAGGGATACCTATGTAAAGCGTGTGACGTGTCATCATTTATTTTTGTAATTTTTCTACTGCCATGATATCTGCATCGATCATATGAATCATGTGAGTTTAGAATATGTTATGGGAAGAAATGTTTATTTGAAAATGGTCATGCAGCAATGATTTTATTCAATTGGCAACCATTGTCTTTTGATAAATGGAAATCAAATTTCATTGGTCAATTGCCAATAGAATGAACATATCATGATGTGATGTAACTGGAGATCTCTTTCAGACTGTGATGTTCTGCATCCCAAGCTCAGTCCTCCAGATCGGATCCGACTCTGCATACTACCTGTTTAATACAAGGTAGGGAAAACTAGTTTGTGAGACTCAGTTGTGCTACCTGTTAACACTACGTAGGGAGGTAGTTTGTGAGACACAGTTGTGCTACCTGTTAACACTAAGTAGGGAGGTAGTTTGTGAGACACAGTTGTGCTACCTGTTAACACCTCGTTAACACAAAGTAGGGAGGTAGTTTGTGAGACACAGTTGTGCTACCTGTTAACACTAAGTAGGGAGGTAGTTTGTGAGACACAGTTGTGCTACCTGTTAACACTAAGTAGGGAGGTAGTTTGTGAGACACAGTTGTGCTACCTGTTAACACAAAGTAGGGAGGTAGTTTGTGAGACACAGTTGTGCTACCTGTTAACACAAAGTAGGGAGGTAGTTTGTGAGACACAGTTGAGCTACCTGTTAACACAAAGTAGGGAGGTAGTTTGTGAGACACAGTTGGGCTACCTGTTAACACAAAGTAGGGAGGTAGTTTGTGAGACACAGTTGTGCTACCTGTTAACACAAAGTAGGGAGGTAGTTTGTGAGACACAGTTGTGCTACCTGTTAACACAAAGTAGGGAGGTAGTTTGTGAGACACAGCTTGTGCTACCTGTTAACACAAAGTAGGGAGGTAGTTTGTGAGACACAGTTGTGCTACCTGTTAACACAAAGTAGGGAGGTAGTTTGTGAGACACAGTTGTGCTACCTGTTAACACTAAGTAGGGAGGTAGTTTGTGAGACACAGCTGTGCTACCTGTTAACACTAAGTAGGGAGGTAGTTTGTGAGACACAGTTGTGCTACCTGTTAACACTAAGTAGGGAGGTAGTTTGTGAGACACAGTTGTGCTACCTGTTAACACAAAGTAGGGAGGTAGTTTGTGAGACACAGTTGTGCTACCTGTTTACACTACGTAGGGAGGTAGTTTGTGAGACACAGTTGTGCTACCTGTTAACACAAAGTAGGGAGGTAGTTTGTGAGACACAGTTGTGCTACCTGTTAACACAAAGTAGGGAGGTAGTTTGTGAGACACAGTTGTGTGAGCTACCTGTTAACACAAAGTAGGGAGGTAGTTTGTGAGACACAGTTGTGCTACCTGTTAACACACAAAGTAGGGAGGTAGTTTGTGAGACACAGTTGTGCTACCTGTTAACACAAAGTAGGGAGGTAGTTTGTGAGACACAGTTGTGCTACCTGTTAACACAAAGTAGGGAGGTAGTTTGTGAGACACAGTTGTGCTACCTGTTAACACAAAGTAGGGAGGTAGTTTGTGAGACACAGTTGTGCTACCTGTTAACACAAAGTAGGGAGGTAGTTTGTGAGACACAGTTGTGCTACCTGTTAACACAAAGTAGGGAGGTAGTTTGTGAGACACAGTTTGTGCTACCTGTTAACACAAAGTAGGGAGGTAGTTTGTGAGACACAGTTGTGCTACCTGTTAACACAAAGTAGGGAGGTAGTTTGTGAGACACAGTTGTGCTACCTGTTAACACAAAGTAGGGAGGTAGTTTGTGAGACACAGTTGTGCTACCTGTTAACACAAAGTAGGGAGGTAGTTTGTGAGACACAGTTGTGCTACCTGTTAACACAAAGTAGGAGGTAGTTTGTGAGACACAGTTGTGCTACCTGTTAACACAAAGTAGGGAGGTAGTTTGTGAGACACAGTTGTGCTACCTGTTAACACAAAGTAGGGAGGTAGTGTGAGACACAGTTGTGCTACCTGTTAACACAAAGTAGGGAGGTAGTTTGTGAGACACAGTTGTGCTACCTGTTAACACAAAGTAGGGAGGTAGTTTGTGAGACACAGTTGTGCTAACCTGTGAGACACAGTTGTGCTACTGTTAACACAAAGTAGGGAGGTAGTTTGTGAGACACAGTTGTGCTACCTGTTAACACAAAGTAGGGAGGTAGTTTGTGAGACACAGTTGTGCTACCTGTTAACACAAAGTAGGAGGGGAGACTCAGTTGTGCTACCTGTTAACACAAAGTGGGGAGGACACAGTTGTGCTACCTGTTAACACAAAGTAGGGAGGTAGTTTGTGAGACACAGTTGTGCTACCTGAGACACAGTTGTGCTACCTGTTAACACAAAGTAGGGAGGTAGTTTGTGAGACACAGTTGTGCTACCTGTTAACACAAAGTAGGGAGGTAGTTTGTGAGACACAGTTGTGCTACCTGTTAACACAAAGTAGGGAGGTAGTTTGTGAGACACAGTTTGTGCTACCTGTTAACACAAAGTAGGGAGGTAGTTTGTGAGACACAGTTGTGCTACCTGTTAACACAAAGTAGGGAGGTAGTTTGTGAGACACAGTTGTGCTACCTGTTAACACAAAGTAGGGAGGTAGTTTGTGAGACACAGTTGTGCTACCTGTTAACACAAAGTAGGGAGGTAGTTTGTGAGACTCAGTTGTGCTACCTGTTAACACAAAGTAGGGAGGTAGTTTGTGAGACACAGTTGTGCTACCTGTTAACACAAAGTAGGGAGGTAGTTTGTGAGACACAGTTGTGCTACCTGTTAACACAAAGTAGGGAGGTAGTTTGTGAGACACAGTTGTGCTACCTGTTAACACAAAGTAGGGAGGTAGTTTGTGAGACACAGTTGTGCTACCTGTTAACACAAAGTAGGGAGGTAGTTTGTGAGACACAGTTGTGCTACCTGTTAACACAAAGTAGGGAGGTAGTTTGTGAGACACAGTTGTGCTACCTGTTAACACAAAGTAGGGAGGTAGTTTTGTGAGACACAGTTGTGCTACCTGTTAACACAAAGTAGGGAGGTAGTTTGTGAGACACAGTTTTGTGCTACCTGTTAACACAAAGTAGGGAGGTAGTTTGTGAGACACAGTTGTGCTACCTGTTAACACAAAGTAGGGAGGTAGTTTAGAGACACAGTTGTGCTACCTGTTAACACAAAGTAGGGAGGTAGTTTGTGAGACACAGTTGTGCTACCTGTTAACACAAAGTAGGGAGGTAGTTTGTGAGACACAGTTGTGCTACCTGTTAACACAAAGTAGGGAGGTAGTTTGTGAGACACAGTTGTGCTACCTGTTAACACAAAGTAGGGAGGTAGTTTGTGAGACACAGTTGTGCTACCTGTTAACACAAAGTAGGGAGGTAGTTTGTGAGACACAGTTGTGCTACCTGTTAACACAAAGTAGGGAGGTAGTAGACACAGTTTTGTGACAAAGTGGGAGGTAGTTTGTGAGACACAGTTGTGCTACCTGTTAACACAAAGTAGGGAGGTAGTTTGTGAGACACAGTTGTGCTACCTGTTAACACAAAGTAGGGAGGTAGTTTGTGAGACACAGTTGTGCTACCTGTTAACACAAAGTAGGGAGGTAGTTTGTGAGACACAGTTGTGCTACCTGTTAACACAAAGTAGGGAGGTAGTTTGTGAGACACAGTTGTGCTACCTGTTAACACAAAGTAGGGAGGTAGTTTAGAGACACAGTTGTGCTACCTGTTAACACAAAGTAGGGAGGTAGTTTGTGAGACACAGTTGTGCTACCTGTTAACACAAAGTAGGGAGGTAGTTTGTGAGACACAGTAGGGGAGGTGTGCTACCTGTTAACACAAAGTAGGGAGGTAGAGAGAGTTTGTGACCCACAACACAGTTGTGCTAACACCTGTTACCTGTTACACAAAGTAGGGGAGGTAGTTTGTGAGACACAGTTGTGCTACCTGTTAACACAAAGTAGGGAGGTAGTTTGTGAGACACAGTTGTGCTACCTGTTAACACAAAGTAGGGAGGTAGTTTGTGAGACACAGTTGTGCTACCTGTTAACACAAAGTAGGGAGGTAGTTTGTGAGACTCAGTTGTGCTACCTGTTAACACAAAGTAGGGAGGTAGTTTGTGAGAGACACAGTTGTGCTACCTGTTAACACAAAGTAGGGAGGTAGTTTGTGAGACACAGTTGTGCTACCTGTTAACACAAAGTAGGGAGGTAGTTTGTGAGACACAGTTGTGCTACCTGTTAACACACAAAGTAGTAGTTTGGAGACACAGTTGTGCTACCTGTTAACACAGTAGGAGGTAGTTTGTGAGACACAGTTGTGCTACCTGTTAACACAAAGTAGGGAGGTAGTTTGTGAGACACAGTTGTGCTACCTGTTAACACAAAGTAGGGAGGTAGTTTGTGAGACACAGTTGTGCTACCTGTTAACACAAAGTAGGGAGGTAGTTTGTGAGACACAGTTGTGCTACCTGTTAACACAAAGTAGGGAGGTAGTTTGTGAGAGACACAGTTGTGCTACCTGTTAACACAAAGTAGGGAGGTAGTTTGTGAGACACAGTTGTGCTACCTGTTAACACAAAGTAGGGAGGTAGTTTGTGAGACACAGTTGTGCTACCTGTTAACACAAAGTAGGGAGGTAGTTTGTGAGACACAGTTGTGCTACCTGTTAACACAAAGTAGGGAGGTAGTTTGTGAGACACAGTTGTGCTACCTGTTAACACAAAGTAGGGAGGTAGTTTGTGAGACACAGTTGTGCTACCTGTTAACACACAAAGTAGGGAGGTAGTTTGTGAGACACAGTTGTGCTACCTGTTAACACAAAGTAGGGAGGTAGTTTGTGAGACACAGTTGTGCTACCTGTTAACACAAAGTAGGGAGGTAGTTTGTGAGACACAGTTGTGCTACCTGTTAACACAAAGTAGGGAGGTAGTTTGTGAGACACAGTTGTGCTACCTGTTAACACAAAGTAGGGAGGTAGTTTGTGAGACACAGTTGTGCTACCTGTTAACACAAAGTAGGGAGGTAGTTTGTGAGACACAGTTGTGCTACCTGTTAACACAAAGTAGGGAGGTAGTTTGTGAGACACAGTTATGCTACCTGTTAACACAAAGTAGGGAGGTAGTTTGTGAGACACAGTTGTGCTACCTGTTAACACAAAGTAGTTAACACAAAAGAGAGGTAGTTTGTGAGACACAGTTGTGCTACCTGTTAACACAAAGTAGGGAGGTAGTTTGTGAGACACAGTTGTGCTACCTGTTAACACAAAGTAGGAGGTAGTTTGTGAGACACAGTTGTGCTACCTGTTAACACAAAGTAGGGAGGTAGTTTGTGAGACACAGTTGTGCTACCTGTTAACACAAAGTAGGGAGGTAGTTTGTGAGACACAGTTGTGCTACCTGTTAACACAAAGTAGGGAGGTAGTTTGTGAGACACAGTTGTGCTACCTGTTAACACAAAGTAGGGAGGTAGTTTGTGAGACACAGTTGTGCTACCTGTTAACACAAAGTAGGGAGGTAGTTTGTGAGACACAGTTGTGCTACCTGTAAACACAAAGTAGGGAGGTAGTTTGTGAGACACAGTTGAACTACCCGTTGATGCAAACCGGGCAGATATATATGATACATGTAAGACTTGCTGCCTGTATTGACATCGCAGGAACTACTTTGATTGCTTGTCATAAGTACATTTCTGATGAAACCTGAAACCATGTGATCTCTAAACAATATATGAGGTATTAAAGATGCCGGTTGTCACCCCACTGTGTGAGAAAGATAAAAAAGTTATTTATTCAGGAAAAGATGTCAGTGTATCATTAATGTGATCCACAGTAACATGATACAGTAATAAATAAATGCAAAAATCTGCCAACCTGAAACGTGACTGAATATTTATGAATTTGCACACAGCATGTGTATTGCAATGCTTGATGCATTCTGTGACACGAGTAAGAAGCCGTTTTAGGCATAAGGTGTTTATGTACTTTATTTCCCATAGGATTAGAAATAACTGAGGTCATAAAAATTGTGAAGTTAATAAGAATCGTATTTGACATAAGGTCAGAATGACATGATCCTGAAAATTTCATAGCTGAAAATTGACGTCATTTAACAAGGGTGATTTTCTTGGAGGCTGTAATCAGTTCATTTTGATACAAAGTGGCTCTGAAGAATTAAGAAATATGGGTAATGTGTGAATTATTTTACTTGTTTTGTGTCGTACTACCTTCATGAAACATCGTCGCAATATGGCTGCAATATTGCCGATGTGACGTTAAATTTTATCTCACTCACTTCATGAAACACATGTCTGAATTCATGCAATAGACTTGCTCTTACTTAGGTAATGTAAGAATTCTGACACTCGTTTCAAAATAATCAGTATAACACTTGTGGTTGTGTGATTATCTGGTTATATCTTTGTATAAACTCCATATTAAAAGAACTGAAAATGAGCTGGTTTTGTCTGACTGAAATCAGGATTCTTGTATTACCGACATCATGACTTTGTTGTAAAAACTAGAGTAACATCAGGTCTCTGAAATGAACATATTTTACAGAAAAAATGGCTCCGAAATTATAATCATAAAACATAATGAAAAGCAGCCCAGAGACTTTCTTTTTCCTGAGAATGTGGTCATCTTGATTTGCCACATATTGTAGACTTGCATGGGCTTTCTTGGATATATTTGTTTTAGGGTTTGCATGACAGACTATTGTAAAAACATGCTCTGCCTCTTCCAGAAACCACATTATGCAGTGTGTGTTTGGCCTGTTGGTTCTGATGGGTCACGCTATCTGGATGTTGGATCTGCTGCCAGTCTTCTACACCCTGGACCCCGACACCAACCACATCATCGTCCCCATCTCCATCGCCTTCATCAACCTGGCCTGCTTCCACTACAGCTGCACCACCAGTGCAGGGGAGATAACCCCGACCAACCAGGAAAAGCTGTGTTCCGTGTACAAGCCCGACAAACTGCTGTACAGATCAGGGGCTGTTTGCTGTACATGTAAACTAGAGAAACCTCCCAGGTCCAAACACTGTAGTAAGTGGACACAAGAATAGTAAAATGTGCATAGTCTGAAATTTCTTATACATGTATGGAAGTGCCAATGCATGGTTCAAATTGTATGTGCCTGGAAGGAAATCTGTTTGTTTAAGTTTATTATTTTGTGCTCGAGTTACATTTTCTTCAGCAAAAGTCATTACTGAATTTTCCTGATAGTACGTCACATCAGTTTTAAACTCAGGGGTCAGGCCAAGGTGTCTCCATGTGGAAAAGGGACGGTGGGGTAGCCTAGTGGTTAAAGCGTTGGCTCGTAACGCCGAAGACCCGGGTTCGAATCCCCACATGGGTACAATGTGTGAAACCCATTTCTGGTGTTCCCCGGCTGTAATGTTGCTGAAATATTGCTAAAAGCGCGTAAAACCAAACTCAGTCAGTCAGCCATGTGGAAAAGAAATAGGAAAGTGCTAATGGAGCAATGACTCCAGAAGATTCAAAGTCATTTTAGGAATGCTTCAATGACTTTGTCCTCCACGCAAAGAGCCAGGTTTTGAAGCAGAATTGAAAATTCACATTTCTAAGAGGCCCCCCTGGCTGATTTTTTAAAGCAAGGGCAAAATTTCTGAGTGAAGGTTGTTACTACTTCTTACTTAACGTATGGTGAAATGATTTTCAAAAGTTTATTTGGCACAGTTATATTCCAAAGTGGATATATGAATAAGCTGAGTGAGTGAGTGTGTTGAGTTTTACACCACACTCAGCAATATTCCAGCTATATGACGGCGTTCTGTAAATAATCGAGTCTGAACCAGACAATCCAGTGATCAACAGCATGAGCATCGACCTGCGCAATTGGGAACTGATGACATGTGTCAACCAAGCCAGCGAGCCTGACCACCCGATCTCATTAGTCGCCTCTTACGACAAGCATGGTTTACTGACAGTTCATTCTAACCTGGACTTTCACAGGTTGAATAAGCTGAGAGATGATGAGAGAATCCATGGGTCCATTCTCACAAATGCCATTATCAAACAAATTACATCATGATACATATGTTGTATTCCTAATAAGTGATAATTATTTTAAAGAAACACAAACATCTGATCATTTAGTTATGGTAGTATGACCCTATAACATAAAAATCATCAAATGTTCAAGACACATTTCCACTCAATCAAGTAACTATAGAAACAATGATTGAAAACAATTTCATGAAAAGACTTTAGAAACTGCATATGAAAACAATGTTTGCGGTAACCACTCCCTTTACCGCATATCGCTGTATGATTTTCTACATACATTTCTCTCCCTTTGGTTTGATGACATGTAGAATTTGATTCTTTTCACATGTCCTTTACGAGTTGTACACAGAGTACAGGTTTGTCCTTTGCGCAGGTATCTGTGATAAGTGTGTGCACCGCTTCGACCACCACTGCGTGTGGACCAACAACTGCGTTGGGGCCGCCAATGTCCGCTTCTTCAACTTCTTCCTCATGTCCCTTGTCGTCATGTGCCTCAACGGGGCCTACATGTGTTTTCGGGCTCTGTACCTCATCGTCAGTCGCATGAAGCTGCTGCAGACGTCGTACGTCGACACTAGGACGGGCGAGGTGAAGCCCATCACGTTAGCAGTTTTGTGTCAGGTAAGATTTAAGCTGTTGAACATATTGCTGAAGTTTGAAATTGAGGTTTTGGAACAAGAAATCTCAAATCTGTAATCTATGCCCATTATTAGCACCTGTTGATTTATCCTTCTGTTATTACCTGTTCATGCAGCCTCCCTCTGTTTCAGCACCTGTTCATGTAGCACCATCTGTGTAAGCACCTGTTCATGCAGAATCCTGTAGTATCTCTTTGCTTCAGCACCTGTTCATGCAGCACCTGTTCATGCAGTATCACGATGCAGCATCTCTCTGTTTCAGCAACTGTTCATGCAGCACTATCAGTTTCAGCACGTGTTCATGCAGCACCATGATACAGCATCTCTGTTTCAGCACCTGTTCATGCAGCACCATCAGTTTGAGCACCTGTTCATGCAGTATCATGATGCAGCATCTCTCTGTTTCAGCACCTGTTCATGCAGTATCATGATGCAGCATCTCTCTGTTTCAGCACTTGTTCATGCAGCACCTGAAGTAGTATCTCTCTGTTTCAGCACCTGTTCATGCAGTATCATGATGCAGCATCTCTCTGTTTCAGCACTTGTTCATGCAGCACCTGAAGTAGTATCTCTCTGTTTCAGCACCTGTTCATGCTGTATCATGATGCAGCATCTCTCTGTTTCAGCACTTGTTCATGCAGCACCTGAAGAAGTATCTCTCTGTTTCAGCACCTGTTCATGCAGCATCTCTCTGTTTCAGCCCCTGTTCATGCAGCACCATCAGTTTCAGCACCTGTTCATGCAGCATCATGATGCATCATCTGTTTCAGCATATGTTCATGCAGCACCTGATGTAGTATCTCTGTTTCAGCACCTGTTCATGCAGCATCTCTCTGTTTCAGCACCATGATGTAGTATCTCTCTGTTTCAGCAGCTGTTCATGCAGCATCTCTCTGTTTCAGCACCTGTTCATGCAGCATCTCTCTGTTTAGGCACCATGATGTAGTATCTCTCTGTTTCAGCACCTGTTCATGCAGCATCTCTCTGTTTCAGCACCTGTTCATGCAGCATCTCTCTGTTTAGGCACCATGATGTAGTATCTCTCTGTTTCAGCACCTGTTCATGCAGCATCTCTCTGTTTCAGCACCTGTTCATGCAGCATCTCTCTGTTTCAGCACCTGTTCATGCAGCACCTGATGTAGTATCTCTCTGTTTCAGCACCTGTTCATGCAGCATCTCTCTGTTTCAGCACCTGTTCATGCAGTACCTGATGTAGTATCTCTCTGTTTCAGCACCTGTTCATGCAGCACCCCGCTGTGTATTCCTGGCAGCATCCCTGTCTGTGCTCATCGTGCTCCTGGGCACATTTATGGGCTACCACCTCTACCTGGTGGTCACCAACCAAACCACCAACGAACGATACAAAGTGTCATATCTGGCTGAGAAGGAATATATTGAAACAGGAGACACTCAGCGGAGGAAGAAACTCCTGGCTCATAGACCCTATGATAAAGGCCTACTACAGAATATTTACGAAGTCTTATTCCCTTGGAGTGTCATCAGGTCCGCGTTGAAAGCCAAGGGGAGATAACTCTTTACATTCCTATATCCATCACTCAGGATTCTTTTAAGGCAGTTTATCTAAATGCGAGATAACACCGATGTATATGGTCCATTACAGGTTTTCATTTGTATATATACATAAAGAATGTTGTCAGGTCTGTAGTACCTTATTAACACTTGAATTGTATTTATTGCTAACAGTATTACTCTAGACGCCAAACAGACTGTAGTGATGCTTGCTTTGAAGGATTCCTGGAATTCAATCTTTAGATAATTGTCTTTTCTAAAGCATTACTTCATGGTCAAATCTTGTATTGGCTTGTATCTTTTGTTATCGAAACACATTTGTAAATATGTAAAGACAAACACTCACATCATGGAGATACACCTAACAAGATGGAGATACACGTGATGTAGAATATGAAAGTATTTAAGCTGTGATTTAACTAGAGATGCTGTGATTTAAGAAATCATGATTCTTGCAATTATTATGAAACATAATCAAATTTCACAATCAATTTTGAAAAGAATAGTTACTCTGTCTGAGAATATGAACTGATGTGAAATCATTATTGATACACATTAAGTTTGTAAATATGAAAACATAAAATATCTGTGATGACATTTCAATTGAAGTCCACATTATTTGCTTCTGCATTGAAATTCAGAACAGAAAAAAGTGACAACTATTTTTCATACTCACGAGATATCTCTGCTAAAACAGAGTTGTTTGTACAATTAAGACTATATGTTAATCATGTCTTTGATAATGACTAATGTACAGGTGTCTCTGGTGAGATGTACTAACTTGATTACAGACGGGGGATGCTGATGGTGGAGGATGCTCATGATGATGGGTATCATTATACAACCTGTACATATTAATATTGTCGTTCATATTCTGTCTCATGTTAAAATGTTCTTTAATGCCTTACTTTACACCTCTGTACTTTGCATCCTTCATGTATGATGATGATGATGATGATGATGTCATTATTCATTAGTTTTGATAGTTGTGTTATAAAATACGTTAAATTCTTTCATAACCATTTCACCAAATTCAAGTCAGTAGAGCCTTACGCACAACTTTGTACCAAAGCAACACAATATGTGATATTTTTGTACCAAACAATGTACTTACTGAGAACAATACCAAAAATAATAATAACTTCAGCAACAATAACATTGGCTGTAGTTGTATTGAATAAGGTGAGCTATATGGTTCTTTTGTGAAAATCAATACAGATTTCCTTACTCATCAATTGTTTAAATGGTGGGGATTTTCTAAGAATATTTCCAGCATCAATTATACGTTGTAAGAAATGACATATTTGGACTGGACGGTCAGACTTGCTGACTGGCTCTTTCATGTTGTGATGTCCTTAGTGGCTGTTACTCTATGTCGTTTGTCATCTCGTTCGTGTGATCCAGTGTTTGTTTACTGATGTAACTTCATGCAGATTCTGGAACATTCTTTCACTCATTCCTTATATGCTCCGTGGAGCTTGTAAGGTGTTTGTCTCATGAAATGAGACTTAATCATTCATCGCTTTTAAAATTCCATCACATTTTTACATCCGCCATATTTGTTTGCAACCCAGTTGAGAACAGCCCAAACCTCTGGCTCCTTGGCCTTTTGATGCTAATGAGCGAACTACTCTTAATGGGTACAAGTATTAAAAGATCTTGAAAAGGTATTTAGCAGCGTAGGATCAAACTTAGACTGTTTTCAAGTCTTGTAACCACCGACCTACTCTGCTGTCCATCCTAGATGGAGTTTGTGTGTATTGAAAGACAGCTGTAGTTATTTCAAGATACAGTGGAAGCTGGAAGCTGTCCAGTCCGGGCAAGTTGTCAACAACGGCATAAAATCTCAGTCCTGTCCCTGGCTAGTACATTTATCATCTTTTAAAAGCTCTGTAATGCGGCAGCTGTCAATTCCGGATCTCGGCATGAAATAAGCCGCCCGAATATGTGTTTATACAGTAATCAGCGCTGTCTAATCCGACACGTGGGGAGAAGACATGTATTGTCACCAATTAATCCTGCATTGAAACTACATGGTTGCTGACAAAGATTATTTAATCTTAGTTCAGTGTGGGTATACTTGTACATGTAATTAGTGAGTTGAGTCAATGTGTGCAGTAGTTGAGAGAACCACGTGATACAACAATGTATATGAGTGTGACAAAACTGGTTCATCTATAGTCGTAGGTAAAAGTGTCAGCTCTACAATCTGGCACGCTGTCTAATCTGGATTATTTCTTCAGTCCTGATTAGTGCCGGTTTACACAGCTTCCACTGTACATCATCTACACAGCAACTGGCCAGTATACACTACACTCCTCTATCACATCAATAAATAGTTGCATGTTGTACATGTCTACTTTCGGGGGGCGTGATTTAAAGCTTAGATGCAACCAAAAAGGTAAACATAATTAAAACACAATTACCATTTATTCATGACATATAATATACATTGCTGATTATGAAAAAACAACTAAACAAAATTATAAGCATGCAATGGCAAATCAAAAGTGCAATTTTTTGTACTTTGGTTTACTACCCTTGAAACAAAGCACCCGTGATACCGAACCCAGTCAGAGCGGGTGGGCGTGGACTTAAGTTGTAATGAAGACTTTCATTAGCTGGTTCATTTGCTGATATGCTCAGGTCTGTCTGTGTGTATAGGCATCAAGCCGCGCGAACCTATTCACCTATTCACTACAAACCTCATTTCACCCCAGCTGGGGTTATTTAGCGAATCGTTTGAACTCCGATTTCACAGGGTTTTTTCATCTCGTATTTTTCAACTTTATGAGTTGAATTTGCATTTTTGATGATTTGTTACTATAAGTCCATACAGAAAGATGTCAGAATCTGCAAAGTTGTGTTTTGCGTTGCATGTAAGCTTTAAGGATTCCGAACTTGCACTGGTGCAACCTGAAACTGCAAAATACAACCTCATGTATATACCAACTTGCACCCAGTACATGTGAATATTTTGCTGTTCAAAGAACACAGACTTCATCTGGAAACCAGAATGATTTGGAACTGGCTTGGAGCAGTGACTCTAATGATGACACAGGCAATGATTGAATGACAACTACTCTTCATGTCAGGAGGCTGTGAGTGTTCATTTATGAAATGGTGTACATGCTTTTGTAACTTCTTTGCCCTGGTGATCCATGTTAACATCATGCAGACAGGAAGTCAGACAAGCAATCAGATTGTGTTGTACTGTCATGTTTTGTTCTATTGCTAACTTCGTGTTTAAGTTAGGGATGGTAGCTATCTTTCATAGTCTTCCATGGTTTATGAATTTCCTGTAGGATGTTCTTATACAGGATGAGTATTTTACCTGTGAGTGACCTCGTCACCTGGTGGTACAGAGTACACTGAATGTCTACTGTGATGTGTTAGCCGTTGGGGAGGACATGGATGTGGCATATTATAACCTCTCATGGTCCAGCCAAGGAATATCCGAGAAGATCTGGGTTAGACTTGGTCTTCAGTAATCTATGCTTGTCATAAGGGGCACTAACGGGATTGGGTGGTCAGGCTCGCTGACTTGGTTGACACTTGTCATCATATCCGAATTGCGTGGAATGATGCTTATGCTGTTGATCACTGGATTGTCTGGTCCAGCTGCTGTACAGCTGTAATATTGCTGAGTGAGGCGTTAAACAACAAACCAACCAACCAGGGAATACAGACAAACCCTCAGTTGTGTGTCTCTACCTGTATATGGTTAAGATATCTGATTTTTATGAATTTCATGGAATTTCAGAAAATATGATTGTCAAGATGTTTCTGTCTCAGCAATGCCACTTTCTTGCCCAGGATTGCCTGTAGAATTTGTATTTGTTGGCAAACACTGCTGATGAAGTCTCTAGGTGTTGCCACGGTTTTATTGTAAGGTGACACCAGCAACATTGTGTCAGTGGATGGTACGCCATAAAGCAATAGGTACTGTAAGACTGGTGATTAATTATTTGTGTATGGATGAAGGAGGGGGCAGGAAATAATGTTTTTTAATTGATATGAGCATGATTTAGGGACTTGTAATTTATTAAGTGGGAAGGGGTGCACAAAGTAATATTACATCAGCAACATATGATAGTCCTGAGAAAAATGGTCCCCCCCCAAACCCCCTCTCCTAATGAAAAATGACCAGTCCCTTCCATCTTGCATGTCCTGCCATGCAGCGATAACTGTGACTCAAAGGAGGTATGACTGGCAACTCAACCCTTCCTTCCCCGTGTCATACAATAATTACGGGGAAGTTTGTTGTCCAGTAAGTCAGTATGGAGGTACATATACTTCATAGTGGTGGCAATTCCTGCTGTGTGTTGTGAAACAGTTGCTCAAATTAGTGGCTAATTCCTTAAACAGTGTTTATGTGCTGCTGTCTTCTCAAGTGCCAGTGTTACAGGCTCAGGTCATGAGACTTGCTTGGTACACAACTGTCATACTCCACAGTGAGCTAATTTTGTACACAGCTGTCGGGCTCTTCATGGAGCCAGTTCTCTGCACAACAGTTAGGCTCCTCATGTAGCCAGTTCTCTACACAACAGTTAGGCTCCTCATGTAGCCAGTTCTCTACACAACAGTTAGGCTCCTCATGGACAACAGTTAGGCTCCTCATGGAGCCAGTACACAACAGTTAGGCTCCTCATGGAGCCAGTTCTCTACACACAGGCTCCCTCATGTAGCCAGTTCTCTACACAACAGTTAGGCTCCTCATGGAGCCAGTTCTCTACACAACAGTTAGGCTCCTCATGTAGCCAGTTCTCTACACAACAGTTAGGCTCCTCATGGAGCCAGTTCTCTACACAACAGTTAGGCTCCTCATGGAGCCAGTTCTCTACACAACTGTTAGGCTCCTCATGTAGCCAGTTCTCTACACAACAGTTAGGCTCCTCATGGAGCCAGTTCTCTACACAACTGTTAGGCTCCTCATGGAGCCAGTTCTCTACACAACAGTTAGGTTCCTCATGTAGCCAGTTCTCTACACAACAGTTAGGCTCCTCAACAGTTCCAACTGATTGTCACACTCCTCATGTAGCCAGTTCTCTACACAACAGTTAGGCTCTTCATGTAGCCAGTTCTCTCTACACAACAGTTAGGCTCCTCATGTAGCCAGTCTACACAACAGTTAGGCTCCTCATGGAGCCAGTTCCTCATGTAGCCAGTTCTCTACACAACAGTTAGGCTCCTCATGGAGCCAGTTCTCTATACAACTGTTAGGTTCCTCATGGAGCCAGTTCTCTACACAACAGTTAGGCTCCTCATGGAGGCGGTTCTCTACACAACAGTTAGGCTCCTCATGGAGGCAGTTCTCTACACAACTGTAAGGCTCCTCATGGAGCCATTTCTCTACACAACTGTTAGGCTCCTCATGGAGGCAGTTCTCTACACAACAGTTAGGCTCCTCATGGAGGCAGTTCTCTACACAACTGTTAGGCTCCTCATGGAGCCAGTTCTCTACACAACTGTTAGGCTCCTCATGTAGCCAGTTCTCTACACAACAGTTAGGCTCCTCATGGAGGCAGTTCTCTACACAACTGTTAGGCTCATGGAGCCAGTTCTCTATACCAATGTTAGGCTCCTCATGAAGCGAGTTCTCTGCACAACAGTCAGGCTCTTCATGGAACCAGTTCTTTACACCATTGTTGGGATCTTCATGGAGCTGTTTTTTACACCATTGTTGGGCTCTTTTGGGGCCAGTTCTCTACACAACTGTCACACTCTTCATGGAGCCACTTATCTACACAAGTGTCAGGCTCCTAGGTTTTTCATCTATTAAGTATTGTATGTTTCCCTATTGATATAGCCTGGCATGTGAGGAAGATGTGATTACACCTGTAGTAGATTTGAATTGATGAAACACTCCATCTCTTTGTCTTTGTTTATAATAGTGGTGTATGTTGCATCAGGAGACAGATATCAGTGATCTTCATGTTATCACTGGTCATCCAAAGTCTCATGTACTGCCTCATACGAAAAGTCGACGC